GGCTATTCAGGTTTAACTTTTTTACTCTCCACAGTGGTGTAGGTCATGAAAAACAATTATCTTTCCTTTTTTAAAGATCTTTTGCGAAAGAAGTCGAAAACAGCCTGAAACAAGAATCTCTTCATCTATATATAAGTATATGGATATGAAATAATGAGACAAACAAAAGTTACAAACTATTCTCTTTGCCAAAGATTTGTGTTTAAGCTAAATAACACATTAAAGAAAATAACTGGAAATATATTTTATACATACTTGAAAAAGTGCAGATTACAAAGGATTTAAGCTGAGTACAACCTTTGAGCCTTTCCTGGACTCTCTTCCTTTCTACCTTCTCTGTTTGCTATTATTTCTACTTCCTAATCCTTCTTTCTTTCACCTTCTACTACTCTATGAATGTCTATTTAAAGAAAGAAAAACTAACCTGGGTTACAAAGTAACTGCAATAAAAGTAACCCTAGTTACATAAAACTAACTATGATTAACTAACCCTAGGGTTATTTACAGAGGTAACTGTAGTCGGTCATCTTTATCTTTCGGGAAAGATAAAAAGTAACCGGCTTTTGAGGAACATGTCTCATGACAGTCACTTTGGAGTGAGGCATGCCTGTTCCTTTGTCTGACTTATTATCCCTCCATTTGGTTTTCGAGATTTTCCCACCCAACTGAGTCAAGATCATCATAAAAGGCTATACCCTCTGGCTCATTTGGGTCATCATTGGAAAGGTCGTCACCCAAATCGTCTCCAGAGCCTCGATATTCGTATTGATCTTCACCATTTTTATATTCCTCAGAGTAAATATCTAGTAGTTGAGTGTAGCTTGTCTAAGGTGAAAAGGAAATATCTCTTTGACTCTGATTATGAATAAACACATCAGGATCAAGATAAATTTTCTGAATACTGTCCTCAATAAAGAGGGTGTATCCAGCCGAAAAATCATCTCCCATGACCTACATGTGGGCCATTGTTCTAGCTCTCCAGTGTCTGAGTTGTTTTGTGAGGGATTGAGTAGTGGATGGCCAAGCCTGAGCGTCTCTGTAGAGAGGCGGTAAACTGCTCCTTCTTCTTAAAATAATTTTGTGCTGTGCCGAAAGCAAATGTCTACCCTTCCATTAAGGGGCCTTGCTCCGAATCAATGCCTCAATGTAGTTGGGAGGCATGCTTTCTAAGACAGCTATGGCAAACTTTCTTCCAACAAGATCAGTATCCGCCATTTTTGTAAAGATTAATTGATAGAGAAAACCATAATCAAGGAGTAACTGTGGAGTTAACTCAATGATTTCCCCTTCATATAAAAACTGAATGGGTTCATAGGAGGATAGATCTAGAGAAACTCTACAAATGCTATAAACAAGTTGACATTGACAGTCATATCTATCAAGTGGAATCCCATCTGCAGTTTCTCCTTCACACCTATTACACCTTTTGAGTCTTCCTTCTGTAGTAGAATAATAGGTGTCCCACGTGAAGCCTATACCAGATCGGTTAATACCATCTTGGGCTATCTGTTGAAGGAATTGTTGAATTACCTTCAATTTAGCATGGCCTGAAGCTTCTGCTTTCTGAAAAATTAGCTGTCTTGAATCATCTGGCAGCTCGGGTAAGGGAACATGTGGATTGAAATAGAACAAGATCTCATCCCACTTCTTATAAACTCCAGGGGTTTTTCCCTTGATTAAAACATAATAATTAAATTTATTATATTTTTTCAAATACTAGGCTAAAGTTTTTAAATTGTTCTAAAAAAGGTTCAAATTGTCGAAGCTCTCCTGAATGTTTTTCAAAAGTTGATCAGCAACTGGATCCAAATTGAGCCCTTCTGTACAGGACCTAACTCTAGAGGTGTTGCCTCTATCGCTGGCTTTGCCTGAAGTCGAGCATCTCATTCTGATCCTGCACAAGAGAAGAATGAATATATCTACTTAGCCAGTCAGCTAGATAATTATCTTTACTTTTAATATATTCAA